AGCTGTTGGGAGGGAACATTGATGTTTTTAACTGTTGTGGACTTTTTCTTTAGTATCCAAAATGAGGAGAATGGGATGGGATCTTCTGGGTAACGTTAAAGGATACGATGAGTTACTAACGCCTCTTCAAAGGTCTTCTTGGTTCTCACCTGGCCTTTTCACTGCTGAAGCATCCATCAGGAAAGGAAAACCTTAGTAGTGTTTGAGCTTTGTCCAACATGAGAAAATAACTGTACTAACAGCGTCCTTAAGAGGAACTGGTGGTAACAGAATAAATAAGTCTAGTTCGTTACTGTCTGTCTTTGCATTCTCTCTTTAGCACTAGTTTAAGATAAATGGGTTAAAGAAAATGATAATGTATGCTGGGGTTGTAGGTTAGTTAGTAGAGGGCTTGCTAACATGCACTAAAGCCCTGGGCTTGGTCCCCAACACCACAGAAAACCAGATTAAAGATATCAAGATTAGAAGTTTAATAATAATAATAATAATAATAATAATAATAATACACAATGAGTTTTCAAGGCCAGTTTTGGCTATGTCAGATTCTGTATCACAAAAAGAAAGAAAGGAGAGAAAGACAAAGAGGGAGGGAGAGAGAGAAAGAGAAACCTTTTGGGCTCTGTCTGTCTGTCTGTCTGTCTCTCTCTCTCTCTCTCTCTCTCTCTCTGTCTCTCCCTTTCTCTCTGTCTCAGAGATTGCCTTAGATGTATAGCAGTGTCTTGTATCTTAACCATGTGATCCAGCCTCCGCCCAAGAGCATATTAACCAGGAAAGGACATCTTTCTTTTCATGGCAGGCAGGCTATGTCTTCTGGAAATGTTGAATGGGGGAGGAGCACAGGATGAGGGATGTTGGCACTGAGTGTGGTCAGTAGCTGAAAGAAGGCCCTGACCCTCTCTGTTATTGGACTAAGAAATGCCCTGCTTTTTTCCTTCTTGGATCTGATGTTCAACTTGTCCTCAGTTTCATGGGGTTCAGTAGCTTCTTTACTTTGCTTAGCCTTCTCAGAATGATTTATTGTCTGTCCTGGAAATTTCTTAAAGATTTATTTTATCTTATATATCATCATCATCATCATCATCATCATCATCATCATGATTAGTTGTCGTAGACAAAGCTTTATTGCTGCAAAGAGACACCATGACCACAGCAGCTCCTATAAAGGAAAACATTTAATTGGGGTCTGCTTACAGATCAGAGGTGTATGCCATTGTTGTCACATCGGGAAGCATGGTGGCACACAGGCAAACATAGTGCTGGAGAGGTAGCTGAGAGTTCTACAACTGGATCAGCGCACAGCAGGAAGAGAGAGTGACTCTGGGCCTGCCTTGAGCATCTGAGACCTCAAAGCCCACCTCCAGTGACATACTTCCTCCAACAAGGCCACACCTACTCTACCTAGGCCACACTCCCTAAATGTCACTTTCTATGAGCCTATAAGGGGCCATTTTTATTCAAACCACACATTATTATTGTTGTTGTTGTTATATGTGGGGGGGCATTCACACACAGGCACCTGCTTGATAAGGCAGCCATATATAGGTTAGAGGACAACTTCTTGTGGGAGTTGATACTTTTCTACCCCTGTGGGTTCTGGGGACTGAACTCAGGTCATCAGTTTGTGTATCCAGAACTTTTACTCATTCAGCCATATTTTGGGCCCCCAAAGACTTTTATTTTCTTCAAGTGTCTAGGTCCATGTTCCAATTTGAACGACCTATGAATTTAATGGTCCCTATTACTCTTGAGCAGAGGTAGATTGCTAAGAGTGTGGTGAACCATGGAGAACTGGCAACTAACGCACTGGTGACTGACTGGCAATTCAGCTTTGATGAAATGAGATCCTTCCCTTTGGTGACCTCAGGTTTTTCTTAGGAAAGTTTGCACTTGGAGTCTATTTTTAGTCTAGTAGTTTATATTTACTGGAAGTATGAATGATACTGATACTCAGAGAAAAAGATTTTCATTTCAAGTGTGAGAAATAAGGGGTAAGGACATAACATCAAAAGTATTACCAGATACATACTGAGTAGAGTTAAGTGGATTCTCAGACCAACTTAATCACTGAAACATCATTGTGCTGATTGAAGTGGTAGGTATGTTGAGTGTGACCAGCATTCTCTAGTTAACTGTCCTTTATAATTCTGAACATTAAAAAGGTTAAATTCAAAGTACATGTGCTTATGTCCTGTCTTATAATTAATACAGGGTAGTTACTAAATGGCTATTAGAATAACTTTAGATGAGGTGCTGAGATGGCTCAGGTGGGTAAAGGCATCTGCCACCAATCCTGAGGACCCAAGTTTCATGCCTGGGACCCACATGGTGGAAGGTGAGAACTGACTCCTTCCATATACATGCTGAGGCATATATGCTTCTGCATACATATATCTCCACACGCATAATAAATAAGTGTACCTAAATTAAAAGCATAACTTTAGACAAAAATGCCTTTCTAGCATACTCAAGTTTAGAAGTGCAATCAGTCCCTTCAATATGAGAGTTTCTTTTCTTACACTATTCATGGCTCGCTCTCTCTCTCTCTCTCTCTCTCTCTCTCTGTGGATTCCTCAAAGTGAAAGGCATGCCACCCAGTGGCTAGGAAGCAGTATTGCAGGAGAGAAAGGAAATGCCATTTGTGATGCTGAGTACAGACATTGAACCACAAACACGAACAAGCTGGGACTAAAATGGGTTATGAGAGTAGCTCTAGAATTAACCTGCTGGTTAATGTTACAGCATGACTACAATGTTTGTATTAATAGAAGCACATTCTGCCAACAGACCTTTATTCATTTACCGGTGTAGTTCTGGACTGTGCATGATTTTATAATCCTCCCTACCCTGGGAACATTTCGAAATGTCTGGAGATATTTTTGATCATCACAACTGGTGTGTGTGTGTGTGTGTGTGTGTGTGTGTGTGTGTGTGTGTGTGTGTGTGTGTGTACACGTGCATGTGTGCTTGTACCAAAAATACTACTAAATATCCTATAATGCCTAGGGCAGTCCCAAATGAAAAAGAATTCTCAGTTCAAATGCCAATGGTGCTACTGTTGAGAAACCTGGTTTAGGAAATACTAGTTTCACATATTTCTGAACTAAAAAATGCTTTGAAGAGCTTGAGTCAAAATCCCTTAGATGCTAGTCTGAATAGACCAACTTTGTTTTCTAAGGTGTATACTTGTTTGGATTTATTTTATCAGCAACTTTTGTGAATCACTTTCAGACTGTCAGAAAAGGACTGGATGCTCCCACACAAACTTTCTTTCTTTCTTTCTTTCTTTCTTTCTTTCTTTCTTTCTTTCTTTCTTTCTTTCTTTCTTTCTTTCTTTTTTGTTTGTTTTTTGGGACAGGATTTCTCCATGTAGTTTTGGTGCCTTTCCTGGAACTCACTCTGTAGACCAGGCTGGCCTTGAACTCACAGAAATCTGCCTGCCTCTGCCTCCCGAGTGCTGGGATTAAAGGCGTGTGCCACCACCTCCTGGTGACAAACTTTCTATATCTTGCCTTTCTTCTATTCCAAGTCTTCCCTCTTTCATTCCCTGTTTCCCTCAACTATGCAGCATTCCATTAGACTGAATAATCTATGTAGTGACCAGACGCCAACACAATAGGCACAGACAAAATCTGGATAGAACTTTTCTGTGTGTGATATTACTAGTTCTTTTCCTTTAGATCTTAACACTGTCTTTAGGTACTAGGTGGATGTGGCTAAGTTTACTTTTACACTTGTGTGGTGAAACAAATGTCAGGGAACCTCTAAAACATATGAAAAGAATTAATAAAACCTTGAGTGTTTCTTATTTTATTTTTATAACAAAGTATGCGGGCGGTGGTGGCGCACACCTTTAATCCCAGCACTTGGGAGGCAGAGGCAGGCAGATCTCTGTGAGTTCGAGGCCAGCCTGGGCTACAGAGTGAGTTTCAGGGGAGGCACAAAGCTACATAGAGAAACCCTGTCTCGAAAAACCAAAAACCAAAGCAAAACAAAACCAACGTGTGGCAGAGGTTAAAAAATGTTTTTGTTTAGAAGGTGTTTGCTTTGAAAAGCAAGTAGAAAAGTATTTTAGTAAGGCTATTGTTTCATAGTAGGTTATGAAACACAGTTATTACCTTTTTTTCTTTCTTCTTTTTTTTTTTTTTTTACATTTTAAGCACCTAGTGTTCAGGACAGTGCCTCTAGTATCTACTGTTTGGTACAAAGCATGTGTGTAGGTAACAATTGCTAACTGAGTTAAAAACAAAGGTTAAATTCAAAAGGAAAAAGGTGAAATGCCCTTAGCAGTAATACTTAGAGCAGTCATCTACATCTTCCTTCAATAGCTTGTGTGTTTACATATTGCCGGTAACAGCACCGTCTGTTGGCTTGTCAAATAAAAAAGTGCCAAACTTACTCTTTTTTCTTACCCAGACTTACTTCGTTTCCTTTATTTCTAGTTCTTTTTATAAATATTTTCCCCAGATTGCTCCTTTCCTTGTTTCTTCAAACTTGCCTCTGTTTGCTACCTTTACAAGTGGAGTTTGCATTCATCTTGGACAGTCTTTCTCTATCTGGGTCTCTGCCCTTAAGACTCACATCTACTACCTTTTGTCTTGAACCTGTGAGTACACTCTGATTTCCCTCAGCTCTTTCCACTAATCCTTGGAGCTGGATTGCAACTTCAGCGCCTTGCCCATCTTCACCAGAATGACGAAAACTTTATTGTTTTCTTTTTCATATCTTCAGGAGGCAACAAAGTGAGTTACATTGTAGTTGTTTAATGAAAGGCGACTGGCATCCGTTTAAGTAAAGAAATTTGACTCTTAGAGTGGCCCCTTGGGTCGGTTGGCTCCGACTCACACAGAGAAGATGCCAAATCTTTATTAGGAGAACCAGGGCCAAGCCCCAGCCAAGGCCCATAATTCGCTGGCCCCGCCTCTCGTTCCGGCTCCGGCCACGCCCCCGTACAGGGCCCCGCCCCTCGGCCGCCCCCTGGACGCCAGAGCGCACGCGCAGGGCTGGAGCTGGCGCGGCCGTCCCCTCCCCCACCCCTGCCGCGGGAGGGGAACCGGCAGCCGTGGCTGCTGGGGCCGACGGGGTGGGTCGTCGTCATGGAATACCCGTGGGATGATCTGACCCTGGCCTTCTCCCGCACATCCATGTTCCCCTTTTTTGACGTCGCCCACTACCTGGTGTCGGTGATGGCGCTGAGGCAGCGGCCAGGTGAGTTGAAGGGGCCGATGCGCTCCGGTTCCGCGCAGTCAGTGCCGGGGTGGCCCAGGACTGGGACTCCTGAACCCCGGGCGGCTCACCTCCCGGTCCGGACCACCCGACTCTGACCTCGTCTTAGGGAAATGATGCAGACCCCTGAACAGAACGCCCCAGGGGGCACCTAGCACCGTGCTAGCGTGTTAAACCGCACGAGTGGGTGGCTTTGCGCTTCCTCAGTCACTAGAGACGTGGTACAGGTTAACAGTCTCTTGGCATACGTAGTTCAGCATCTGTGTGAACCGTGTGGGGATGTGATGGGGTTTTCACAACCTTGAGTTTCATAAACCATGTGACCAGAGGGCAATGTTTGATTTCCTGTCTCTCACTGGCTTTACTTTTAAAGTTACCCCACGTTTCCATTATTTTTCTGAGTCTCTGTCTTTGCGGCATTTCACCGCCTTCCTGCTGTCTGCTGCCTTGCCTTGTGCAGCAGGTGAAGTGTGAAGGCTTGAGGATGACTGTCTTACCTCTTATGGACTACTGACTTCCTAAGTCCTTGACTCCTTTACGTTTTTTGAGAGTTTCTAAGTCCCACTCATTGTTTGAATAACAGAGCATCTGCAAGGGCTAATGCTTCTCCGATTAAAAAAGAACTACTTTTTTTTTTTTTATACTACTCCACATCCGAAATCTGATAGTATCTTGTATTGACTAAATCAGATGTTCTCGAAGTGTGGTTCACTTTTCACGTGCTTTCCTGTCACACGGTGTAAAAATTCATTATTTTCATGATAGTCAGAAGTTCTTCACGTCTTCATTGCCTTTAGGACTGTACAGTGAAGTTTCCCAGCAGCTCTGTGGCTTATAGTGTCGTAAGAGATGGAAACAAATGATGGGGTCAGCCAGCTGTGCCTGTTTGAAGCTGGACGCTAAGGAGATTGCCCAAATACACAACAGTGTGCCTTTTCTCACGAAGTAGTTTTGGCTTTGGGAAATACACTTATTTTAGTAAAGAACACATTATTTTAACATTTAATGCGTTATTTTAAAATTAGTATGTAAAAACTTTAAAAACTGTTGACATTTTTAAGTGCTAAATGTAAGCTAACACTCTAGGCCTTTTGTTGTTGTTACTGGAGGTGATGTTAGGGAAATGCCCTCCCACTCAGTGTAGCCCCAGGCCGAGCCATTTCTAATGTCATTTTTTTTTTTTTTTTTTTTTTTTTTTTTGGTTTTTTTCGAGACAGGGTTTCTCTGTGTAGCTTTGGGCCTTTCCTGGAACTCACTTGGTAGCCCAGGCTGGCCTCGAACTCACAGAGATCCGCCTGGCTCTGCCTCCCGAGTGCTGGGATTAAAGGCGTGCGCCACCACCGCCCGGCTCTAATGTCATTTTTTAAAGGATATTATTTACATAAGTATATTCACTATTTTTTTAATCATAAAGTTACATGATTAACCATGGTCATGATTAAAATATAACGTTATAACGTATTTTTCTCATCTTCTCCAAATCCCCTTTGCCCCTTGGTAGTCCCTTCCTCCAAACCGTGGCACCCCGTGCATGCCTTCTCTAAATTTCAGGGTGTATAGAAATCCAAAATTTGAGACTCCAGATTTTGAGAATCACTTGGATAATTGAATGCCAATAGACATGGAGGGAAACATGCTTTTCTCTTAATACTAGTAAATGACTGCGTTCACAGGAGAATGCCTACGTAAGCAGGGAGTGTGTTAGAGTGCCCTTTCACCTTAACAGTAGTGATCATTGTCAGTCCTCAACCTCTTGTTATTTTCATAGTCAGAAAAGAGTTTTCATTTGCATTTTTCCCGATTATTAATGTGTGTGCTCCCTTGGTTTATTGGTCATTTGTGTTTAATTCCTGTACATGTCTAATATCTTTGCCTGTTCTGTTGAGATGTAGCTTGTTGTTTTACTTTGTTGATTTTCTTCATGCATCATGGACATTCTATTGGAAGTGCTAAAGCTTTTTGTTTTATTTTTTTTTTCTCTTGTTAAATTTTAGCTTTTAGTGCAGAAGTTTTAAAAATTTCATGGTTAAATCTATTTTTTTTTATAGACAGACATACTTTTATAGACAGATCTCCTTTATGACTTTTAGGCTTTATATATTGTTTTAGGAAGGTTGGTCTCTGCTGAGGATTATAGAAGTGCTGATTTATGCTCTCTTAAAAATATATTTATTTTTATTTTTAATTGTGTGTGTGTGTGTGTGCACATGAGTACAGGTGCCCGCAGAGGCCACTGGGTCAGAGTTCCCTGGAGCTGGAGTTATGCTAGCTTTACAGGTATTTCTGAGCCATCCATTGAGGGTGCTAGAAACTGAATCAGGTCCTCTGTGAGAGTAGTAAGTGTTCCTAACCATTGAACCATATTTCCAGCCCCGTATTACGGTTTTTAGTTACAAAGGGAGCATTTGGGGCTGGAGAGACGGCTTAGCGGGTAAGAAAGCTTGCTGCACAGGCCTGAGGACTTGAGATCGAATCCCCAGTCCCTATGTGAAAAGCTGTGCATAGCTACGTGTGCTTGTAAACTCGGCTCTGTGGGGGTTGGGAGAGGCAGGAGGATTGTTGGAGCTTAGCTTCAGGTACAGAGAGAGACCATGTCGGGAAGGAGTAAGGTGGAAAGTGATAGAGTAGGACACTGATGATGTCCTCTGCTTTCCATGAACACTACGCTCCATTGCACCCTCCCACACACACTTCTTAATCGCTCTGCAACCACTGGTGGTAGATGGGTATTTCTTCTAAAGTCTTTGAATCTCAGTGATGAATTATTGCAAAGGGCCCTTGGAACTCAGGGATGGCGGCAGAGTGACTAACTGAAGGGCTTGCCCTCTTACAGAGACCATTCTGCGTAGCCCTTTGCAGGTCCCTAGTATTTATTTGCTTTCTTCAGCCTTCCATTTCTTTTGGCAGTTACTGAAATTCTTCCAGTAAATTCTCTTTAGCTTAAGTTTGCCATATTGTTTGTAGCCAAGAACCCACATTTCTTTTTCTAGCCTCCTTATGAGAAACATCAGTCCTGGTACAGAGTGACCAGCAGTAATGCTGATTGTAGTTCCCACCTTCCTCCTGCTTTTAGTGAGGATACTCCTAATGTTTAATGAAATGTGATGTTTTCCGTAGGCTTTTGGGAGGCATCTTGTAAGACAGTTTTATTGTATTTGTTAAGTCTCTAGGTTGCTCCTCTTTACCACCCAGAGAAGGTGACAAATTTTATCTTTTTTTTTTTTTTTTATTAAAAATCTATTGATTCAGGATTGGTAAATGTCTGTAATCCTAGTACTTGGGAGGTACAGACAGGAGGACTGGACTGAAGGTGAGCTTGGGCTACATAGCAAGACCTTGTCTCAAAACAAAACAAAACACCCAAAAGAAATCTATTGAGGTAAATAATTATATATATTGTTTTTCACATGGAAATGTAATGTCGATTACATGAATGTTTTTTTTTTTTTTTTTTTTTTTTTTTTTTTTTT